CATGGTCAAATCATGCGCGTTATTCAAGTTCTGATTACAAGAAAGTTTTAAGCGTACCTAGTTAAAGACGACATTTTCAAATACTTCGATTTTTCACCACAACATTTAGGCAATATACTGTGGCGATGTCAACATTGGTTTTTCGAACGAGAATTTATACATATGTTTTATTTCGACGCAAATTACGATTTCGGGTGTTTTTTTTTTCTGAATATTTCGACGCATTGTTTCCGAGTCGTTCTACTCTTAACACCGAGAATAAAAAACCGAACATACTATGCATGATAGATGGGCCACTGTTGGAGGTGAGAAGTTGAAAAAGTAGTGGAGAAATTTATTGTATGCGACAAAACCATTGCTAACGAAAGACGATTCTGAGCGGAGTTCAGTCAATAGTGTTGTTTTGTCAACAATTTAATTCATATTAAGGTAAAGATAATTGCATATGCATTATATGTATTCTTCAATAATAATCGTTAAATGTATTGTATTTATTTTCCCGTATTCCCTACGTTTTTTCCCCATTTATTACGAAAACAACCGGAAAAATCAAAAAGTACCAACCCAGATTTTAGGTTTTCTTTCGGAAAAACACGCTACACTTGAAAACCGGAGCGAAATTGCTGGTAGAAAAGTTGTTTGCAGAAAATAAAAAAATAAAATAAACATCAGTGTAAAACCGGTACGTTCCTCGGTCCGTTCCGAATCGAAAATGTCGCTCAGAAAATCGCTCTGTACAACACGCATTGTAATATTATTGGTGTGCGACGATAAACCCGTAGCACAAAACAACGTCTTCGCAGCGGTGACGAGATCTTATCAGCCGGGCACCGGCAATAACGACACCTCAATGCGCGCGTGTGATGCCCGGCCGGCCGTGGTGCGCGTACACGACCACATCCATACACAAACAGGTGTCGCGATCGGGCAAACGGGTTTTTCGTTACTTCTTATTAGGTATTATATTATATTCGACATCACAAGAGAGACCGTTTCCCCGGCTCCACCGGTCGGACTTAGAGCCGCACAGGTATAAGCGTAATATAATAGGACAATCGACGCACGTCTTTCACGTGTCTCATCGGACGCGGGATTTTTTTTTATTGTTTTTCGTTTCGTAAAAAAAAAAACAAAACGCCCGACGACGACGCGACGGAAGGTCGTACTTACCTTTTGTACGGTACGTTCCGACCGGCGGCGAGCCGCGCCGTTTCTCAAAGGCATAAACTCACCGGGCTATAAACTTCTTACGGATCGCCCATACGGACGACTCGCAGGTATTTGCGTACGGGACTGCGCGTATCGCGAGGTTTTGAAATTTCCGTACGGGAACTGTAGGCCGACATTACAATGTTATCTCGTGGTTACGGCGTGTGCGATCGTGTCCCCGATAAGACTGCACGCTGTCTTCGTAGGGTTTACTCATTCTCGAACAGTTTATACGTAACCAGCGGTTTTGGGTTGACGGAAATTAAAAAAATTCCGTCACCGAATTTTAATTGAAACGTCATCTAGTTATGGCAAGTCAAAAGAATAGCCAGAATATGCATGGGTGACGCAACAGTAACGGCCGTGTAATATTTTAGAACGACTATTTGTTCCGTAAGTTGTCCAAGAAAAAAAAAAAAAAAAATTCCCAAAACAATTAAATACTTTCCGATGTTGATGAAACGGGTATTGGATATGTAACGTTGATTTTTGACATTACGCACACCCCGGTCAAATTTTGTTTTTTTCGCTTTGCCTTTCGCCTTATCTTTTAGTTGGCCACTTCGTTTGTTAGCCGTTATCGACTAACGTTATCACCAGTAATGCAGATAATTATAACGGAGTACTACGAAACAAGCCGGACGTGTACAGACACGTAAGCGGAAGTACAAGGGGTAGTCCTGAAATCAGTAGAGGTTAAGTTAGGTTAGGTTTTAGATTTTATTATTATGACATAATTGAGTTTTTTTTTTTTTTTTTTATGCAATTCAGTAAAACAAAAGCGTAGATTATATGTCCCTACAGATCTCCGGAGACGCGAACACCGAACGAAAACGCGACGCGCTGTGACAATATACTCAGATACCTAACTAATTTCCGTGTACAGTATACACACAATGTACAAAACGCAATGCAGTCAATTGACATTACTATTTCGAAATTGATTGCCCGGCACGCGACTCGCGGCGGTTTTGTGAGTTCGGTGGGGTTTTTTTTCCCTCCCATGTAGATTACTCGAGAAAGTCTCTAAAGAACATCGCGCGGTTTACGTACGTATTTATACACCGTACGATCGACGGCCTCACGGAAATCGTACGAGAATGACTAAATATTTACATTTTTCCGTCCGACATTTAAACCAATAAAACAGTACCCGTACGATAATGTTTTGTTTGCTAACGCCGTTAATTTGTTTTTATCTTCAAAGCGGTTACGCCGAAATAAATAGAAAAAAAAAAAAACAACAAAAACAAAACAAACGTTTGACAACTGGCATAATCGCTGCTCGTGTTTACGTTACCTACCAAACAATTAAGTTGTGTATTCATAGTAGCGTACTGCCCGTGTAATATAGTCAAGCTCGGTATGTAAAACGCGTTTTAACATGAGCGAAACGTTTGTCTAGATTGACTCGAAATGTCACGAATATTATGTACCGTCGCGGGTTCGGTTGAAACCTCCAGTAAGAAAAAAAAAAAAGAAAAAGAAAAAATACGATATAATATTATCTTCATAAATGTTTTGTTCACATTTCATAATGTTTTATCGTTCCCGGAGGAGAGCAACAAAACGCGGTCGTAATAGCATTGCGACGTTATGATTCGTGTCGTTATACTTTCCAACAATCGATACGGTATCGTGTCTCATAACGCAATATAATTGAATATTGTTTTCATAAAAATCGCAATATTTATTTTAAAATTTCAACGTGATTATGGTTTTGTTACCCGGCAATCTTAGGGTAAAATTTCTTCTTCTGGCATTGAACAGAATTAATACCCTCTGAGAGTTTTCGGCGCCGTTAAAATCTCCCTCCGCTTTACACTCGACCCTGGACTATTCCTCTCCGCACTATCGACTGTCTCGGGTCCTACGCCGACCCCGATATTTCTTGTCTATAATGATTTCCACAACAGTACCGTTCTCTGCATCATCCCCGTATCTTTACAACAAGTTCCCAATATTACGAACAAACTCATTTCAATTTGTAGCTCTTTGCTAATGTTCTGACTCCGCGTTAAAAAAATACTAGGACTTAACTAGCATGATATTTGTATACCTTCTGACACGCGTAAAATCGTTCTATTTTTCTTAAACTGTATTATTGCTAGGGCCCGGATTTCAAGACGAAATGATTTTTTTTCCCAGTTGACCTAAGAAAACGCTTTCCGAGTACATAATTCGATTTATGTAACATACGTATAGTGAAACTCTAGTTTTCCATTTTTCAGACTAGTTTTAATCATTTTCGGGTCGTTTTTCGCAGACGTTATTTCGCCGAAACCCCCTAACTATTACACGTACACTACCACCGCGAAAATAGCCGTTTAGCGTGGAGTTGGAGTTTTTCGGCCTAAACGTATTGTTCTGTTCATATTGTAACTCGATTGTGAAATGATTCCCGATATCGTGCGCATTCCATCCGACACGTGTAATAGTCACTTATAAAACATGTAGAGCATTGTCATATTTGCTTAAGTGTTGTTTAGTACAGTCGTGTCATTGTAGTATTGAACATGTTCGAACTGAACGCCACCTACGCAACCGTGCGTCAGCGCCCGAACGGAATATAACAATAATATTATGTATATGATTTCGGGCGGTGTTTTAAGTTTAGAAGCAAATGCCGCGTACCGTCTCGTACATTTAATGCGATGCGATTATATTGTTATTATCATTATTATTATGCGCACGGCATCGTTTTGTTTTACGTACACCTATACAATATATAATATTATAATAGGTATATACCTATTCAATTACGCGCGTACGTATGTAAACAGTATTATATTCTGACTCGGGACGTTTACAAGATTATAATGATACAGGTACGGAATTCAATTTGCATCGAAAATACATTTAGGAAGGCACTTACGCCATACCCGGTGTACAATGGTTTTCAGGTAACAAAAGGGGGTAGAAAAAATTAAAAAAAAAAATTTGAGAATTACTTAACTCGCGTGCACATACGCGCACGTTTGAAGACTATACGATTAGCTGTTTGTTATCTTATAAACGGTGCATATAGGGTTACACGAACGCGTATTTATTGGAGGTGCCCACCTACATGTACAATATTCGTAAACCAGTTTATTTGTACGCGGTTAACCCTTTTGCCGTAACAAGATGCGCGTCGTTTAAAGAACCCTTAACGCGTTTGTTTTATTATTATTATTTCACGACGCAGCTGCGCAGATAGTATATCGTGAGCTGGCACGCGGAAAAAATAACAGGGTACCTATTTATATTATACCGTTTAAGAAGACGTCGAAAATGTACGCGACGAACGTTTTGGGCTTTTAGAGGAATCGCACTCGTTTTCGTCGTCTCCGTATCACGTATACGGTGAACGCGGCACCGATCGCGTGCTGTTACTCGTTGTAGTATTGCGAGTGAACCGACACGCGTAGTTTCGTCAAACTCAACGGGCAAAACGAGCCCGTAACTGAAAAATAATTTCGGCGAACGGGACCCGGGGGGATTGTAAACTAAACATTTGTGGTGCTCTGATTTTATCGACTGTTGCAATAGTTATTTTCCCACGACATAATAATACAACACGAAACATTTTTGGAGGGCGGAAATGTGGTTGTACCCTCGAAAATTCCTATCAGGTACGGCAACGTTATCATTGTCGTTATTGTTGTTCGGGTCGGAACATTATCCGCGTGTTAATAATTGCTCGTCGGTTAATTTTCAGTGATATTTGAACGCGTGCGCGACATACGCGACCGTGTGGAATATCACACACAGCTTTTAAAAACGGCCACGTCTCGGCGACCGAACCCGACCTGACCGTAACCGCAGCGGAAAAACGGTATTTGCAGGCTAGACTCTGGAATTCTTCGGCCGGTCTCGCGGGAATTGTCGAATTTTACCGCGATTACGACGGCCGATCGGCACGCGGCAAAAGCAGGCGCGTCGTCGCTGGAACAGTCGCCTTCACCTGAAAATCGGTTCTGCCGGAATACAATACACTTACGCGCAATACAATAATACACGACAACGTCGTTATTATTATAATATTTATGGCGGTGGGAAGTCGGCGAAACGCCGCCGTCGGTTTTCGTCCGAACGATTTAAATGCAGCGCGCGATTACGTCTTCTGAAACGTCGTCGTCGTCATCGTCGTCGTCGTCGTCGCATCGCTGTCTGGGACCCCTCTCATTTGAATACCACAAGTCATTCTTGTCTGCTTATACCTATACGCGAGCGAACGCGTATTTTCGTATTACCAACGTTTTCGATTATATTATAATATATAATATCGGTAATAGCAAATAATAATAATAATAATAATTGAGGAACCAATCCTTCTTTGGTCAGGTTCACGGGGAACGAGTCCGTTCGCCGCTCGCTGCCGTCAGGTTCGGTTTGATTTTATTTTTTCGACGGCTTGCCGCGAACAACAATGCGTTTCGCATTTACATCGGAAACGTAAATTCAGCGACGTGATTGGGACGTATATATTATTATGATAATAATATTACGTAGGTATATATACGTATATGGGGGAGAAAAAAAATAAAAAAATAATAAAACGTTACGTGTACTGTATATATCCGTACGGATTTGCCCTTTACATATTATTATTATGGTAATATATGTTGTCATTAGACGGGTAACCTATAACCGTCTTTGGTTTTAAATTTCCTCTTTAATTGGGCCCGGCCGCCGCCGCCGACAATACGTCGGCAGAAGCGAATTCCGTTTGGTCGACGGACGCGTAATATTCGCTTTGGCGACTGAAATGAAAAAAAAGTGCTGATACTGAAAATGGGAGCGGCCACTGTTGTAGGTGAGAAGTTGGGAAGTTAGGGTACACAAGGTTATTCCGTTTATATCTGTAAGCAACGATAAACCACTGCTCGACGAAAGACGATTGAAACTTGTTCGGGTGCCACGCAAATTTTCAGACCTATCACGTCGATTCGCGCTAATTGCACCCTAAATATTTAGAATTTGGAATAGGGGGAGGCTGGTGAAGCGTACGTGATTATGATTACCGGACGAATCCCGGTTCCGAGGAAGTTTTTGAAGCATATGGTACCGAGCGAATGGGTTTAGAAAAAATACCACAAACCTATAGTAAAAGTCGGGAAAAATGAGAACGTAAGATTTGTGATTGTAACGTAACAGAAAAAAAAAACAGGTTTTTAATAATTGTTTTTAGCTATTTGAAATGCGAAGGTAAAAACTAATCCTCTTTTACACAGTACAATCAATACGATATTCGAGTATCGCAAATCGATCGGATGGAAAACCGTTGTTTTCGACGAAAATTGTTCCGACACACTTATGCTACTGCAGTAGTATTAAACACACGGTTTCGTCATTATTTTATGAAGAAAAAAAAAACAAAACCACCCGGCCGTGTTTGAAACGTTGAAAAAAAAAAACACCTATTCCAATAGCCTTTTTTAGAATGCGGTGTTTCGTACACGGATGAAACACGCTGGAAAACGTTTAGATAAAAAAAAAAACTGTCCACTAAACCTATAATCTTCTAATGCAATAATATAATACAAAACAAATAAATGCTCGTACCTTGACGATGTATTAAAATAACGCGTGAATGTAGAAAGTATTATTGTGGCGACATTATGTCAGTAGATAATCCCCGGTTTGAAATCTTCCACTCGGACGTTTCTAATATTTCTTATGTATACAAATGCATTGTCCGATACTATATATTTGCATGCACTTTGATATCGATCAAAAACTTGCATTGCGAAGAATGCCGGCTTCCCTATCACAAACTCCAAACGTTACGCCAAACTATGATTGCTTATATAATCGATATTATTATAGTCGTGCTGTTGGATAGTGAGCAAATTCGAGTGGGAGCCCAGCAAAATAGTTTGAATGGCCGACGGCAATAGAATCGGTAATATTTTTTATTCGGCGATATTTGAAAAAGGCGTTTATTAAAATCATATTATTCGATACCAATTTTANTTCCCGAATATTTTCCGTATTCATTCGTTTGAGTTGACTTTTAAAACCAATTATTTTATCGATAAACTGTCTGAAACAATGTTTAACTACACTATATTATTCAAAAAATACCGTATAATAGATAAAGGAAATATAGACACTCGGCCTGGGCAAAAAAGCGGTTGGTTTAAAAGAACGCCTACATTTGCTTTGTAACTATATTGCATAGACCATGTCTTAGATCGTTTTGTCTTCGTGTCCATCGATCATATCATAAAATGCATTTATTTTTTCATGTAAGGTCCGACTAACGCAGCGAGTGGACAACGTTTTAGTTAAAACTGACCGAACCGTTTTGCCCGGGTTACCTTGAGTGTCGATGTACATGTCCCACAGATTATTGCTTATTGGTGGTAAGAAATGAAATTTCCGTCCGACATTTAATGCGGAGCTCGCGAGCATTATCATCCGCTTTTATATCGTGATAGCTGTTTATAAAATTGTTAACAATCGTGGTCTCAAAGGCAAAAAAAAAAAAAACCGATTCGAGAGTTAGCACACCATAAAAGCATAATACGATAAGGCCGCGGGTCTCGAATTAAATGGATATCGTAAATGCGGTTTTGATCAAAAACACGGGTGCCTGTACAAATCTGGAACGTACAGTAATCCAATGTCACAAACTTCAAATAAAAAAAAAATCTGAATTTCTATACACAATTATATATATATGTATATTTATTATACAAAATGTTTACTTTCCGGTTTTGTATTTTCAAGAACTGTACGTTCCAGATTTGTACATTCATGGTTTTTACATCCCCGATTTTTCCGCGCTCCCCAAAAACATTACCCAGTACGATTGTGGCGGCTAGCAATAATCTAGTTTATCGATGTTTCCTTCATCCGCGCGTTCGGGTATACGAGTTACCGACGGTATTCGTTACGGATTAATTATTTTTCGACTCTTATGATATAACGGATACTCCGCACACCAATAATAACAATTTTACTGTTTGTGGGTACGGACATAATACGCATTATAATTTTGAAATCGATAGGCCGCCGCTGTGGCAAAATACGCGCGTTTGTTGTATTATTATTCGATTACGGGACGATGTATACGAGCACGGTACCTATAGACGACCGGCCGCTAATCGAATTTCTTCCGCTCCGATGTACGTTTCCGGTCACATTTACGCGTTAATTCCGTTTGATTTGAATCGCAGCGATACACGGATCGAAAAGGACTTTGCAGTACGAATTCATGGTCGGATTAGGCCGGGCGCGCGGTCGTGCACGGCACGGAGTGCCGTAGTTTAGCCATTGAATTGGACCGGCACTGGCGATGACAATAAAAATAACGTCAAATGGTAGCCACGCCAAATATATGGTAAACAAAAAAAAAAAAAAGTGAAAATGTTATATTCCAACGTTTGTCGGCTGTCATTTCAATTTTTCAATAGGGACGCAAACCCCGAATTTTTCCCTCCGTCAGGCCACCTATTGTATATTATCCTGTTTATTTTGCGGAACATTTTCTGATCGCTCCGATCGCTCGCATTCATCATATTCCCGTTTCCCACAATAATATTTTTTGACATTACAATAACATATTAGTAATAAACTACGGATATAGTTTTTTTTTTTTTTCGCGGAATAACTCGATGCACCATGATTTTAGCTTGGTGGAAAAGCTATAATTAAATTTTTTTTATATGACCAATTTTCCCCATGTTTGTAAACCAAATTTGTTGTGGTTATTGGTTGCATATTTAATAAAAAAATCTTCTCTCAATGTTTTGTGCCGAGGCCTCTTAATCTAAAAATTTAAATTGATTGAATTAAGAAATTTTAAGAGCGAAACCCTTAATTATCTACATAAAAAACGTTCGGAACTTATTACAGTTGTTGAATTTAAATATAATTACGATATTAAATCTGAATGGCAAATGGAAATAATATTTATTTACGGAGCAGAGAAAATAAAACAGAAATATCTTGTTTGCCTATTTCCATATACTATTCGTCACGTTCAGCCCGATATTATATCTATACAAGATTCGAAATCTCTAAGTCTCGATTACGGAATGCGAATTTAAAAACTCGAGGTACTGTTGGTACCGCGCCTTTTAGAAATGTCCAGTCCGCCCCAAACGCCACCATCCGCCACCGAACGAGGAAACGATGTTTGAGATGCGGTTGGTTCTCGATTTTTTTTTTTTTTTTTAAAAAGATTTATGAATAGGTGAGTGCGGTGAAAATATTGTGATATGTTGACCGTTGGAAAATATTGTTGGGTGGTTAGGTACTGTGTGTAGATTATAGTGGGCATATACGTTGCTCCTGGGTTATTATAGGTTTGCTTCGGCGATGTTTGCGCTGCCGTCTCCGGTTGTTTCGATTGTAACTTTCCGTGTTGCGCGCGACATAAAAAAAAAAAAAATAATAACAATCAATAACAATAATTTATTATTAGGTATGCAATTGGTTCGCAGTACTGCAACCGCTATAAAACCACTAGGAATAACAAATTTCAATATACGCGTACGCTTTGTGCGGTATTCGATTTGCGATCGCACAACACGATAACAATAATGGTATTATTGGTCGTGGTATTATACAAAAAACAATGCGGATTATTTATGATTTATGTCGTTTTATGCGATCGCGATCATTGATATCCAAAACGAGCCATACTATAAACATGAAAACGATTTTCTTTATTGATTATTTTGCCGATTTCCCGGCGAAAATCGCATAAAAAAGAAAATAACGAGAACCCCTCGAAAGAAACCGAATATTTATAATGCTCAATCCTGTAAAGGTATAACGCATTGAAATCGTTGTCTGTGTATCGTTTCGTTTTGAAATTTATAACAGTATTATAATGCACTGCCTACTATTTGAGTTGGTGTCGAGTGTCACCCGGACATCGAATTCGGATTTTTTTTTTACATCCTGTCCGTAGCGAAGAAGCTATTATAGTTTTACTTACATGTACCTTTTTTTTTTTTTTTTC